TAAAGAAATCTAACAAAAAAGAAATCTTTTCCTTCCCTGTCTACTCTTTCTTACCTGAAGTCCTTTGTTCAAGCAGAGAAGAGTGGGAAATATGCTTGATCTTCCTGTCCCTTCACCCAGCATAGCACCTCCTATCAATTTTACCTGCAAAATATCTGCTTTTCTCTCTCTCCCCCTTTGCCATTCTAGATAGAGCTTTCCGTAAACCCTCAACTGCTCTGGTCTACTAACTGCAACAGCTGCCTGAGGTGTGGCCCTTGGCCACTCATCTCCTCCACACACAATACACTTCACTCCCTAACAATAGCCCCGTGAGGGATGCCTATGAAGCACCACACGACTGTGTATCCTAAGCTCTACATCAATCCCCCTTCCCCCATTCCCATTTTTTTTTTCCATAGCATCAAGTTCTAGTGCCTCAACATGGTCTAAAGAGTGACATGATTGTCCTTCTTTCTGTCCTTTCAACTTCATCTAGACTGCTGACATGCTGGCTTTTGAACTGTAGTCAGCTGACCTTCTGTTGAGTCTCTGACTATGCCCGCCACACACCTTCCTGCCTCTGACCCTAGCAAATGCTTTCCCTCTATGATCAGATAACACACTTTCCAACTCTCCACATAGCCACTCCTGTGCCTCTGTAAAATCTCAATGCTAGTGTCACCTCCCTAAGGAGGCCTTTTGTAACTGTCCAGATTAGGATAGGCTTCCTTTGTCTAAAACCGTGTACTGCTCCTTCATAGCTATTAGTGAGGTAAGTGTTTTTCTCTGCCCTCTGGTGGAAGGGCCTCCTTGGGGAGGATGAATCAAAGAAAAAGGTTTGCTTCCTTCTCTGACACGAACTTGGTTCTTGGGTTTCAAGTCCTGACCACCTACAGGAGGCCATCAACCTTCTCATGACAGGGGACAGTATCAGTTTGCTGTTGTAGAACAGCATTTTTACACAGATATGGGCAATCTCTCTAAGATGGTCTGTGAACATTGATCGTTAGGGTTTCAAAGTTCTGTGCTCCATCTGGAGTGATCACTTTTGTCTGAGAAAGGAGGGATGGGAAGTTCTGTGTCTTAAGGTTGGTGAAGAAAAGGCCATGGTGGATCCTTGACAAGGAATATGGATATTGTCTGGGGGTCTCTAAAGGACAAATGGCTGCTCTATCTTGGGGCCAGCACTCTTGGGTACCTCACCTTTTGGAGGATAGGCATGTATGCACATGAAAAGCATACGTGAAAGCACAGGGCACTAAGAACTGCCACCCTGGGGACAAAGGGAGCTTCCCCACTCATGTGTTCCAGGTACCCATGCCAGCTGTTACCTTATTCCCAGTCTTGACTGGCAGTCAGTCACGTAGCAGAAGGTCACCATCCAACCAGGACATGGTGGAGTCATCAGGAGAAACACATCAGGTACCAAGGATTCGGCTTCTTCAATGTAGAATGACCTCCTTTTTGGACAGTGAAAGACCCTGTAGGTCTTGTAGTTTATGGAGGGGAGAAAGGGACCTGTGACAGTGATACTGACTTCTTTACCTCTTCTATAGGTCCAGAGTTGGTTGGTTTATGTTGAAGATTTGGCCACAGTGCGCTCCTGTGTCAGGGCACACTTTGTACCTATTACAGTCAAAATGTACATTTAAGGACTAATGCAAAGGATTTCCACCATGTTTATAATTTATGGATAACTCCCGTGCTTAATACATTGTTTTACAATGCTTGAGGAATCTTGAATAAATGTTGACTTTAATGAAGAAAACGTGCAGTGGAATAAGGGGTCTGAGAAATGGAGCTTCCTTCTTGGCAGGCAGTGCGGTGGCGGTGGGGGAGATGGAATGAAAGTTGAATTAATAGATTGAAGGGGTATTTAGGGTAGAACATAGTCTGTAGACTTTTTGCCACTTTCTGTTTTGACAGCATCCTAAAGTAAATTGTCTTCTTGCATGCTGTTTCTAAATCATGGTGGGGACTCCCTCAAATGCTGCCTTGAGAAGGATTCTGAAGTCACAAATGATATTATTAAGAAAGATTAAATAATCTTCTGCTGATTTCAAAAGTAGCACTTTTGCATTTAGCCAATTTTTTTTTTTCTGTCTACTGGGGAGATGGGGGTGGGGGTGGATAGCGATGTTTCTCAACACTGTGACATTTCTGCAAACAGCAAGTGTAGCTGAGATAGGATTAGAAGCAGAAATGGCAGCACAGCAGCTGTGTGATGGGGAGCTGAGCTGGAGACATTCACTTGCCAGGAGAGCTGGATCAGATTTGTTGTGGAAAGCATTTCCCATCTACTCCTTTCTCTTCTCTCCTCGTTTGTCCTTGGACTTGCCATCAGAGAACGTAGCAGGGGTATGTTTGAACAACAGGGAAGTTTCGACGGCTCAGGCAGCTGCTCCAGGGAAGGATAGCAGAGGACAGTGTGACGGAGGTGGAGAATGGACTGGAGGAGCATGACCTGCAGTGAACCAGGGGCACCCCAATGATTTCAGTGGTGTCCTTCTCCCCAATGAGGAAAAGTGTTGATCACCACACATGGCTTTACCTTAACCAGGGAGAATCCCTGAGGCATTGATCTGAATTTCTTGCTACCAGAATCTAGCCAGGACACTTGAATGACCTTCAAGGGATGCTGAGTCCCCTTGTCTATTTCCTAAATACCTGAGGTCCATTAGACATTCAGTGGATGGAGCAAGTCTGAGGAAGGGGTCTCCCAAACCTCTCAGATATGAGTGAATTACTCACATAAGGGGAGAATCTCAGTTTCTGTAGACCCCCACCTCCCATGGCTACCGATCCAGAGAACACCCAGAGAACACTGGGTTGAGCTAATCATTGGATTTTAAATCAGTGGGGAAATGAGGCATTTTTATGACCTCCTACTCTTCTGCGTACAGACTCATCACTACCTCCCAACCATTCCACCTTCTGCACAGCCTCAAACTTGGGGTACAGCTTTGCTCTGGCAAATTTGTTAGGAGGTGATACTGACCTGAGAAAAAGAAAAAAAAAAAACAAAGTGGAAGAATAGTTACTATCTCTGGACTTTGCTGTAAGAACATTTGTGATTTTACTTCTTCCAAAAGACAGCTCTGCCTCAATTAATCTGCCATTAGTGAGGATATTTTCATTCTTGAAAAGAAGCCCACCAGAATCTTTTTAAGATTTTATTTATTTATTTGAGAGTCAGAGAGAGAGAGAGAGCTAGCACGAGTTGGGTGAGGGGCAGAGGGAAAGGGAGAAGCAGACTTCCCGCTGAGGGGGGAGCCAGATGACATGGGGCTCTATCCCAGGACCCTTAGATCAGGACCCGAGCAGAAGTCAGACACTTAACCAACTGAGCCCCCCATGTGCCCTAGAAATTTTTTAAATGCAAATTAGAACAACAATGGATATCATGAACAAATGGACAGAATTTTTAGAATGGTGTTACCTGGTGCAGAGGAGGGATGTGTCAGAGATGGTGACTAAAAGGAAAGTCTTCCATGTCTGACAAACAGAAGTTTGTATCGCATTGGCACTGCTAACGAGGCACATGACTTTTGTTAAGCTACTTACCTTCTGTAAGCCTAGTCTGTGAACTATTTAAATGGATGCAGTGTTACTATGCAGAATACATGAGGTATGTTTGTGAGTGCTTAGCCTACTGCCAGGCACGGTGGGGCAGTATGAACCGTAGACAATTTCTTAATGGATATTGAGAGCCTTCCCCTTTGACACATTAATTAACTTCTGGGGATCTAACCCAAAGAAGAGGAAACATCTAAACAACTACAACATGATTAATGCAAGCATACACTCCTAGCAGCATGGTTGATGAGTGAACCATCAAAAATGTGCTATTGGTTTAAGTTTGTTTGGAGATTGCTATTTGTTTTCAGAAATGCAGGACTATCATTAACAGACATGGTTGGGACCTAGGGATGTTTTTCCAAACTATGAGGATTTTGTAGTTGAACAATCAACCTGCTCCAGTACTGGGAGCTGCACTAAGTATATGACCTCCCTATCTGGACACATGAGTAGAAAATTTGAATTCAAGCAGCCAGTCAAGCCAGGGCGTTCCCCCCTGGAAAACTTGGACCAGTTTCCCCTCACTTATGCAAAGAATACTATTCTTCCTTATCTACTGATTCTAGTTGATGCATATTTAATATTCCCCACCTCTAGTCTTCCCATCTGCCCCTCCCTCCACTCTTTATGCTACTGAAAATCGTCTTCAGTAGCTTAAAACCTGACCGTGTCACCTTATTGTTTCTAAATTTGGATGATAACTTCAGCAAACATAACGGGGCTTTTAAACTCTACCTCTACTCATCTTTCTGGTCTCACCTCCATCATGGCCCCTAGCCCTCCCTGCATCACTTAATGTTCAGAAATGACAAGTTCCCCATAATTCCCAGGAATCCAATTTTGCTAATTTCTCTAAATCTTTGCATACAACATGCCACTTGCTGAAAAGTCTAGCCAGGCACACTCACAACTCTCTTTCCCCGCTTCCTTCCAGGAAAGCATCACCTCCCTTGTGAAACCTTTACTTGTTTAGTTCTTTCTTCTACCAGGCTGCCCTGGGAGCTTGTGTCTATCTCTCTTGTAACACCTTCCAAGCCATAACAAAGTTTTTTTCATGTGGATCCCTTTAAACTTTATCCCATGCTTGGCCCATAGTGATTTGCAGTACATATTTATTAAATGCATGAATGCACTTATTTTCATACCCATTCCTTAGAAAATGTTGATGCTTCCCATGCCACCCCCCTACCCCAACTGGGGTCTCCGATGGCCTTCTCGTGGATAAGAGTGTGATCCATAAAACAGGAATAGAAACAGTTTCACAGGCATATCTGAACAAAGCTGACATTCTTTTTTTTTTTTCCTTTAAGCTCTTGTAGCTGCATGTAGATGTAGAATGATCCTGAAATTAAGGTCAGCTCCAGGTGGTTGTTTATATCAGCTGTCAGATTGCAGAATAAAAAATGGCTTTTATATGTTTGATTTTTATTGTTTTCCAGGGCAATGTCACTTTTTCCTGCTCCGAACCACAAATTGTTCCCATCACATTTGTCAACTCCAGCAGCAGTTATTTGCTGCTGCCCGGCACCCCCCAAATTGATGGGCTCTCAGTGAGTTTCCAGTTTCGAACATGGAACAAGGATGGTCTGCTTCTGTCCACAGAGCTGTCTGAGGGCTCGGGGACCCTGCTGCTGAGCCTGGAGGGTGGAACCGTGAGACTCGTGATTCAGAAAATGACTGAACACACAGCTGAAATCCTCACAGGTACCAACTTCTGACAACTGTTAGGTCGGTTTCTTGTTCAGCCAAGTCAACCCACGTTTGAGATTCCAACTAAAACGTGCAGAATCCAGCTCTCAGGGTTGTGGGATGACCCAGTATTCACTAATTTACTCTAAGTCTGAAGAGGCCACTTTTCATAAATATATAATTTTAATATATATATATTATTTATTTGAGAGTGGGGGTGGAGTAGAGGGGAGGGGCAGAGGGAGAAGCAGGCTCACCACCGGGTAGGGAGCCTGACTCAATGCGTGGGCTCGATCCCAGGACCCTGAGATCATGACCTGAGCAGAAGGAAGACACTTAACTAACTGACAACCCAGGTGCCCTGAGACGACTTAAAACAAACAAACAAACAAAAACCACTGAATTCAGACATATCTATGAAACTTTGACAAGTCTCTTACTTTCCTTATTCCTCAGCAGACTTGTTTGAGAAGTGGCAATAAGAATTCCTACCTAAATATAACATAATATAGACCACTTTCTGAACATGTTGCTGCGTCTCGACAGACATGGCGTGTATTATATGGAATCTTCATCATGCTCGTTCAAGGAAGGTATTTTATAGGTACTTTATAGATGAGGAAGTGAAGAGTCATGGAAGCTAAGTAACTTCCAAAAGCACATGTTAATAAGTGATGGAACAACAATTTCATACTGAATTTGTCTGGCTTCAAAGCCTGTAGTTTCCCTGTATATCATACACACTTCTGTGGACATTTTACAACCACCAAATTTTATTTCAAGTGAAAATTAGTGAGTTTAAAGAAATACTTTTTAGGGGCACCTGGGTGGCTCAGTTGGTTAAGTGTCTGCCTTTGGCTCTGGTCATGATCTCAGGGTCCTGGGATCCAGCCCCCTCCCTGCTCAGCAAGGAGTCTGCTTCTCCTTTTCCCTCTGACCCTCCTCCACCTTGTGCTCTCTTGTTTCCTCTCTGTCTCAAGTAAATAAACAAAAATATTTAAATTAAAAAATATTTTAAAGTATATTTTTAAGATATTAATTAAATACTGGTGCATATGGCCTCTAGGTATGGCAAAACTTTTTAAACTGGTCCTCGAATAGCTAATTTTGGAAAGACTTTTATGACACTATACAGATTCTAATATGTAACAATACTATGGAACAGATTTATGAAGAAGTCATGTTTTTCAAAACTCTGACTCTTCCATGTGATATTTTTGTAACATGAGACAGTAGAACTTTCTCCCTCCTTTTCTGTTATCTGACTAATGCATCCTGTCCTTCCAGAAGTAGTACTTAGTCAACAAGTACTTACTGAGGTTAGACCATGTGCCAGGTATCATATTAGGGGCTGAGGCATGTTGCTAAGTCAACAAATCATTTGAAAAGCCTCCCTGGTTCTACAATGTGAATCAAATACCCCTCCTCTGGGCATCCTGGGCCAATATCCATACTGCATAACACCACATCACAGTTTTTCTTAAATGTCTTCCTTCTCCCACTGGACTGCGAGTTTTGTTATCCAAATAAATTAGAGAAGATTGATTTAAATAGTAAAGGGCATGACTTAATACCCAAGATCAGGTCAGACTCTGGGAGAGCCTCATATGCCACTTAGTGAGCAAAAAGTCCATTGAATCCCTGGAATAGTAGGAGAGCCTGGATCTGGAACTTAAGTTAAAAAGGTACCTCTTTTCCTTACTGTTCTATGACCCTGAATAAACTTCTTAACTTTTTCTCATATGTAAGTGAGAGTGTATTAGTTATTGATGGTCGTGTAACAAACTATAGCAAAATAGAGTGGTTGAAAATGTTTATCGTGTCCTAGTTTATAAGAGTCAGGAATCCAGGGGCACCTTGGCTGGGTACTTCTGGCTTCAGTTAGGGTGTTGGTGGGGGCTACTATCATCTCAAAGTTCAACTCTGGGTAAATCTACTTCCAAGCTAACCCATATGGCTGTTGGCAGGCCTCAGAAGATCCACTTCCAAGCTTATCCCATGGCCTATCCAGAAGGCTGCCTCATGAAATGATAGTGCTTTTATCCCAAAATGAGTGATTCAAGAAAGAAAAAGAACACTCAAGACAAAAGCCATAGTCTTTTTGTAACCTAACACCAGGTGTGGCATTCCATCCCCTTACCATGCTCTGTTCAGTAGTAGAAACAAGTAAATAAGTCTAGGCCCTGCTCAAACCAAGGGCATTATACAAAGCTGTGTATATTAGGAGTCATGGATCATAAGGGACGATCTCAGAGTTTGCCTAAAACATGAGATGGAAAAGATTTAAAAAAAAAAAAAAGTTCTTACATCAGGAGACTGCCATGATGGTGATTAAATGAGATAATGTATCTAAAATCCTAAGCACAGTGTTGAGAAACTATTCAGCAAATTCCGTTCCCTTCCATACCGACTCAAGACCTATAGCTAGAAGGCACCTCACTCCACAAAGTCATAAAAGCTGGGTCAATTTGTGTATCACAGGACTTTTATAAAATTTATAAAATTTCCAGTAATGGAGGTGAATTAATCACTTAGAAACACAATATTTTTCATGTTCAGAGTTATAAAAGTTAGACTTCAGTCATCCCTATTTGAAGAAGAAAAATGTGAGCTGGCACTAGGCTGTTTCTCTCTCTGATCGGCGAGATGTTTGAGTACAGAGACTGTAGGCCTCAGGTCAATAATGCAGCTTTAATATAGGATAGGCCCTGGCGACACTTTGCTCTAAAGCATCCAGGTGCTGCCTGTATTATTAAGCTCATGTCAGTCCATTAACACACGTTTATGACTGAGAGGAGCTGGTAAAAGCTACCACGCTGCCCAGCTGCAGAACGGGAAAAAATCATGTTATTTCAGACCTGTCTCTCAAAAAATGAAACAAGTAAAAGGAAGTTTTAAAAATATGCTGACTGAGTTCCTGAAGTAGGTCTCACAAAACTCTTGCTTTATTCTTTCCCCAAGAAGAATTTTTGAATTTTGGAAAATTTGAACTTCTCTCATTTTTTCTTTGAAATGGAACTATGCTTTGTGTCTGTTGGAATTTTTCTACCTGCAGAGGGTGGGGGAGACAAGCAAAACAAACAACAAACAAAAAGTCAAACACAAAGAGTTTTCTTGTTCCTTACATTTCTGAGGAAACTTCTTTTCTTTTTTTTTTTTTTTAAAGATTTATTTATTTATTTGAGAGAGCGAGAAAGTACATGAGAGGGGGGAGGGTTAGAGGGAGAAGCAGGCTCCTCGCCGAGCAGGGAGCCTGATGCGGGACTCGATCCAGGGACTCCAGGATCATGACCTGAGCTGAAGGCAGTCGCTCAACCAACTGAGCCACCCAGGCGCCCAAGGAAACTTATTTTCAAAGCACTTGAGATCTTAGTGGCTTTGTAAGGGATGACAGCCCCATACGAGAAAGTAGGAGGTAATGGCCATTGTCCTGATGATGTTTGAGGCCCAGTGGGGCTACCCTGACACACAGTACATCATGGAAAACAGACAGTAACACACCGCATTTTGTTAGTGGGACAGAGAATCCAGATATTTAAAGATTAATTGAAGACCAGTTCAGGTGTTTCTAACATCTTGGGTCTAAAAGAAAAAGTAACCCCCATGGAAATGGAAGTGCAGAGATGCCTGGCACATTCACGTGTATTTCCAGAACTTTGTACAGTGTGCATGGCTTTTTGCTCTAGAGGTCAGGGACAGAAGTGCAAACTAAATGCATCCTCAAAGTAGAAAGCACCTGAATTCAGTTCTTCTAGGAGATGAAGTTTCCAGAAGATTAAAGACACCAGTGTAACCCTTCCCTTATATTTTTCTTTATTTGTTGTTTTCTTTACTTTTTGTTCAAGAAAGGAGATGTCCTTTCCTGAAAGCCTTATACTTGTGGAGATGAGGAAAAGTTGAGGACATCCTTTCACTGTAAGTGATGTGAGAGTAGAATTGCCAGTCATTGCAGTTCTCTTGCAGGTCAGACATTGTGTCAGGGCCTCCTCATACAATACTGCAGGGAAAAAAATAATACATGAAACTTACGAAGTGGTCATAATTTTACCAACACACATAGGATAAAACTGGTAACCAAAAAATTAAGTTAAAGTGACCAAGGTGGTGTTCAATCTCAGGTCTTTCTTTTGGATTCCCAAGTTCATGGTCTTTATACTGGAACTTGCTGCCACCCATATTCATATTTTATATTGTAGTTCAAATGTGAGGAAACTTTAGAAAAAAGATTTACAACTATGTTCAAAAGGCTGTTTAGGTAAATAGCTATCTATTGTCTAAATTTAGTTCTTCCCAGAACATTTTATTTGGTGGCTCCATTGACAGATTCTTGGGTTAGGTGGGATTTACACAAGATGGTGAGTCTATTGTCTTTAAGACTTCTTATATATTTTAGCTAAGTTTGCTTGTATAATATTATAAAATAAATAATCCATATCTATATATCAATAAACAAACATACACACACACCCGAGTATTCATTAAGTATACAAGACGTAAATGCTTAGTGCCAATTCCTTAGTAAGATTATCATCCAAGAACTAAGGATAGTAAGCAGCATGAAGTACTACTAAGAGTCTATCTGCTTCCAAAGACTTTGCCCTGTATTATACAGCCTTTCCCATTCTGATCACCCCATGTTCCAAACCCCACATGGAAATCTTGGGGCTGCTCTGGAACAGAGAGAATACCTTCAAGGTGTCCTGCTACACAGTGAGTCTTGTCATTTCTCCTTTCAGGAATCAGAAAAGATATATAGGCAAATCTTAAATAAATGAAGAAACACCTGGACTTTCTACTTTATGCATTATAAGCTCTCAGTTCTTTACTACACTTCATGAGGTGCTGTGTGTCACAGGGACTACTCCATCTCTCAAGTCCACACCACTGAGCAGTAGATACTCTGTTCTATTTTTTAATGTCGGAAATGGGTGTCATTTTAAAGACTCTTAGAGAGATGTTGAGAATGGAGATTGATATTGTCTAAACTCATCTGAATTACTAAGAAAACAGGGAAC